TCCTTCAACACTTTTCCGGGGATGTTGTCTGGGCCAGTTGCTTTGTGCGGATTAATCCTCCTGAAGGTACTCCTTACTTCTGCTGAGGTCACGCTGAGATGCTCTTCATCCGGTGGCGAGGTGAGTCTGGTGCTGGGTGGTCTGTTCGGGTCTTCAAAGCGTGCATAGAACTTGTTGAGGGCATCAGGCAGAGATGGGTCTTTGGGGCATTGTTCGCTCCTTCCTTTATAATCTGTTATGCACTTAATGCCCCTCCACATGCTCCGAGGGTCTTGTGAGATGAATTGACCCTCGATCCTCTTTGCATATGTGGCCTTGGCCCTCAATACCAGCAACCAGCTCTTTTCTTGTCCTACTCAGCTCCTCTGAGTTTCCAGACCTGAAGGCAATGTTCCTGGCTGCCAGCAGGGTACGCACCTCTGCATTCAGCCAAGGTTTTCTGTTTGGGTAGCTTTTAACATTTCTGATAGTGGAGACGGTGGCAGTACATGTACTAATGTAACCCAGAACTGAGGATGTGTATTGGTCAAGATCAAGCGAACCTCCATTTTCAGCAGCTTCTCTGAAAACCTGCCAGTCTGGTCGATCAAAACAATCTCTCAATATGCATGCATTGGTAGCATATCTTGATGATATGCATGATGAATTGCATTATTCAAGAGGAGCAGGAGCGCTGCGTTTGTATTGTGCGCGGTTTATAATCTGAGCTGAGCTGCTACAATCTCAGCTCCCCGTCTGGAAATGGCAAAGCTGCGTGGGGTGAGGAATTTGGTAGGTAGAGTGCTTGGTTCTGTTGACGGGGGGGGGGGGGGGGGGGGGTACCCTTCTTGAATAATGATAAGGGAAAACACTGATATTTAAACATAGAACAGAAAGTAAAGGACTAAACAGCAGCCCTGTCTTGTACCAATGTTGCAGTCAAAAAAGTCAGTTATATTAGCCTCACACATGCTTTCAGTTCAGAATACATTGATTTAAAAACAGTGTAATTTACCTTAAACCCCATTTTTTTCATAACATAATACAAAAGCCTATGCTGAACACTATCAAAAGTTTTTATGAGGTCGACAAAAATACAATACACTCTACTGTTATTCTTGCATATACAATTCTGAACAGTAGTTCAAGTATAAAAATATTGTTGTTGATCATTTGTTTATGTTTCCCTTATACTTACAGCAGAGCCAGGTTTCATGGGTGTAGCTGCTGGTAGAGGAGTCAACACATGTCCTCCCTGAAAAACAAACCCAAATGCATTTTGCTGATGTAGTGCTCTTAAAAACCTTTTCTCAAAGCAAAGCTTATGGTTTAAAGTCATGGAAGTATCTAAGTGTTAATGAAATATTTAAACTACGAATAATATGTCCCTATCTTAGTGATGAGTAAATTAAAGAAACAGAGTCCAGTTTAGCATCAGATAATCAATGAATCTTCTCAGTAGATTATTGAGACTGTGATCATTTTCACTAACAGTTTCTGTCTGCCAGAAGGTGTCGACAACAGGACATCTCGTCTCTCCCACCACACTGTAGTACCACTGCCAGGCCTCAGGGTTGATGGGTTCGCCAACGGTCCCCAACACTTTTAATGATTTGCGCTTGTACCTCCAGAGAGAGAAAACACAATATTCTGTCATTTCAAAGGCACAGAGGTTGAGTTGTGCATATTCAGAAAAAATTATTTGCTGAAACATAAAAAAAATTTTTTTAAAGGGACGCACAATATTATCGGCATGGTATCGGCCGATATTAACGTTAAAATTCAATATCGGACATCAGCCATTCCATCAAAATAACACACCGATATAAGAGACGCTGCTTTTGTATGACAACCCAGTGACAAGGACGCCTGCAGCGCCAGCACAACGTGATGACATCACGCGCATCTACCTGATCTGATCACGGCAGAGAGGAAGAAGTCAAAATGTCGGTGGTGTGGAAGTTTTTGGGGGGTTTTTTTCCATTGAGGATGTCGGATTCCGAAGATTTTTGGACTACGTTGAGCCTCGCTACATTGTCCCCAGTCAGATATTTTTCCAACGTAGCCTGACCCGAGTCAAAAGTCATCATTTCCAACGTCATTGAGAAGCTAATAGTCAATAGCACTTGGGTGAGTGTTACCACAGACATTTGGACGTCGTGCTAGCCCTGTTAGCATGATTAGTGTTACGGCACAATAGATAGACAAAAACTTTGAACTTAAAAAGCCTGTCCTTCATGCACAGGAGTGCAGAGGATCCCACACTGCAGCTAGGAACCTGGAACAAGCCTCCACAAGTGAGACAGCGTCGCAAGTGACTAATGCTAATAAACAACATTTAACACTTTTCACTTATTATAAGTGCTATGCATATCATATGGCTGTTTCTGAATATATCAGAATCAGAATCAGGGATGCACCAGTCCACTTCCCCCAATAACGATACCAATACCCGAGGTTTAGTATCGGGTTAGACCGACCCAATATTGATCCGATACAGAAAAACAGTGCTGAATTAACAAAAATGGCTAAATCATGTCATCTGGACCCATTTCTGAAACAGGTCCAGATGACATGATTTAGCCATTTTTGTTGTCTACCTGGATGTTTGAGTTTACAAACCCAGTGCTGAATTAACTTAAAACATTTGTTTTGTTAATCGCAAACATGAATGTACTGAATTACAAATTTATTGAAAACTCTGCACCATAACAGCACACTTAAACACACCAAGAGCTTCACAAGCTTGGTAGAACATGTAAAAACAACTTTAATATGTTCAGTCAGTACAATTATAACATCCAGTGTAAAATAAATAATAATAAAGATACTGAAACTGACAAAAACAAAGGTTGACTACTTTGGTCAAACATGAAAAAATAAACTTCAACAAACCTTTCAAATAGTTTAGGAATTTTAAATATAATGTAAAACAAATAATAAAAGAGCTGAAATAAGAGGAAAAAACAAATTCTTCAATGGCTTGGTTGGCAGATATTTAAAATAAAAACAGCAATCAAAGCACAAAGCATAGAATTAGAGCAAATAGATCTGCCCAGTCATGGATTGGTCACATTGTCACGATACCCAATCCAGAAATTTTTTTGATATCGGGACAGATACCGATATTGGTATCGGATTGGTGCATCTCTAATCAGAATAAGCTTTAATATCATTGCACCAAGATACAACGAGAACATGTACATGCAGTCGTCCGGAAGATGGACGTAGTGCACAAAGCTGCTACTATAAAAAAGTGCGGCCTTTCTTATCCTTTTTTCAGAATAATAATCTGTCACCAGTTCAACAGCTGTTACATAATTTTTGTAACAAATAAGCCTAACTAAGAGGGCTATGTTCTGACAAAGGAAAGTACATAAAAAATATCTGTATCAGCATCGGTCATCAGCCAAATAAGTTTTAACATAACAGCATATCGGATATCGACCAAAAATCCAATATCGTGCATCCCTTAAAAAAAAAAAAAGCTGTAAAATAAAGCAATAAACAAATTCTCAGGAAAACACACAAAGGAAAATGCTTATATTCTTGTCAGATGCTAAAGTACAAGAGTTTAATTTAAATCCAGATCTCACTGTTAATCAGTATGATTGTCAATTTCCTATACAGTACAACACGCCAGCCAGCCAGCCAGCCAGCCATCCATCAATCCATCCATCCATCCATCCATCCATCCATCCATCCATCCATCCATGAACAGGGTTCAAGAGAGAAACCCAGATCTTCCTCTCCCAAGCAACTTTCTCCAGCTCCTCCTGGGGGACCCTAAGGTGTTCCCATGCCAGAAGATAAATAATCCCTCCAGAAAATTCTGGGTATGCCTTCTAGTGGGATATGCTTGAAAAACCTCTACAGGGAGGTGACCATGAGGCCCCTTAACCAAATACTCAAACCACCTCAGTTCAAATAATCTCAAACCACTCCTTTTGATATAGAGGAACAGTCCATCAATCCATTATCTTCCGCTTGATCTGAAGTCGGGTCGCGGGGGCAGCAGCTTGAGCAGGGAGGCCCAGACATCTCTTTCCACAGCCACCTCTTCTCTTGAACCCTATTCCCTAGGGAGGGGCCCAGGAAGCATCCTTAACAGATGCCTGAACCACCTCAACTGGCTCCTCTCAATGTGGAGGAGCAGTGGTTTTTACTCCGAGTATTGATTTATTCTGTCCTACATTGTCTGATAAAGACATTATTAAGCTTCAATCTCTGGATCCAGCCATCAAAAGGACGATTCACTACCTAACTGATCAGGACCATGTCACTTCCTACTCAGAGGAACTTGACTCAATCCCTGACCTTTGTACATTCTTTAAGGTACGGCCTTTCCTGAAAATATTCAAGGGCATGTTAGGATTTGCTCCTGAGCCAACAACTTCACCTTCATTCGTGATACCTCAAGACCACAGGGGGTGATGCTGGCACATGTCCATGAAGCCCCATCTTCAAGACACAATAAAAAAGTGGGGGATATGTAGGGGAACACCACTTCAGAAAAAGAACACTTCAGCTCAAACAAACAAAAAGAGTTCACCTCATCTCAAATAAACATCATTCCTGTGTTTTTGTGTTTGAAACTATAAAAATAAGCTTCATCTATTCCCTTTGGAATGAAGAGACATTGCTTAACAAATATTCAGCTCAGCTCACAAACTTCTTAGTTGCCACTAATGTTAATGTAATAAAATAAAACTGTCACTGTGTTAACCTCACTGCCAATATGAACTCATTTCCCATGAAACCTCCCTGCTGGCTGACGTTGCACGTTCGTGGTGAGACGTATTGTGTCACTTCCTGTTTGTCTATTGGTAGCTCCAGAGCCCTATAAAGAGAGAGTTGCGACACTCCCATAGACTCCCATAGAAAGAATGGAATGCGGAAGTCACGTGGGTCATGCAGCGGCAAAAAGTTCCAAACAGCAGCGGTTCAACATTGAACGTGGTTCATTCTTTTTGTTTTCTCCGGTAAGTTGATGAAAATACGACACTTTTTTGCCATTGTGAAGCGTTATCTGACTGTTCTGTACCACAATTTATCAACATTAATACTTCATGTTGCCAGTTTTAGTTAATGAAACGTGTTAAATTGCTAGTTGTGTTTTAACTGCAGCTGCTCTGCAACACGACGGTTTAAACGGGTCTATTTCTAATTCAGCATTTTAAAATATCCATTACTGCTTAAATTATGAAAGGTGGTCTTTTTTAAATTTATGGTAATTTCAGTTACTGAACTCAACTAGAAAATATTTGGCCTTTTTTTCCTGAGAGATTCATTCAAGCTTTATTTCTACAGGTAAATCTCATTGAGCCTCGAGGACTCATTTACAAGAGAGACCTGATTTAACAAAGAATGATGACAACATGACAACAAGACTGACGTAATTTAGTTCAAGTTATAGATCATTTGTCAAAGACTGCAGCAAAAGTTGTGACATTATCATTAAAGAAAAACGTGATTGTGGAGCTGAGTCAATGTTTTCATGTTTTCCAGGTGAACCAGAGGAGAATGACTTCATGAACTGAATGTTGCATTCAAAGTATCAGAAAGGTACAAGATCTCATTTTCTGTCTTCTATTAATCAATAACAGCTGAATCAAGATGTTTGAATAAAATTACTTTAACACCATAACCTTGACAAAGTGAGAAGGGGTTCTCTGCAGACCAAAAGTGGGCGTTTCTGGCGAATAGGCGTTTATGGGCGGCGAACACTGATTGGCTAACAGTATTTAATAGGCGTTTATGGGCGGCGAACACTGATTGGCTAACAGTATTTAATAGGTGTTTGTGGGCGGCGAACACTGATTGGCTAACAGTATTTAATAGGCGTTTGTCGGCGGCGAACACTGATTGGCTGTGGGTAACCCTCAAAGTCACGAGGATTATTGATGAGGTAACGTTTCTTTGCGATGTTTGACAAAGAAATATGGTTTATTGTACTTATAAAGTATGTTATGTTTTCACTTATGCATTTTATTGAAGTACGTTTATTGTAGGTCACGATAGTTTCGACCGTTCTCTCGTTGTTGTCGTAACACACTGAGGTAACGTGAGCCTCCACAGCAGCTCTCACTGTGCACGTTTACAACAACTGGGTGTTGCTTTTCAAAATAAAAGCTGAAAATAAAAGTTCTTAATACTTGAAAAAAAAATATTTAAAAGCTGAGTATAACTGAAAAATATGAAAAACAAATAAATAAAAGTTGTTATTAGCTGAAAAATAAATAAATAAAAGCTGTTAATTATATCTATGTCTTTCTGCCATGTCAGGAACCACTCTCACTTCAGGTTGACTCTAGAAGACCCCAAGATGTTGCTCACCAATGTTGACCAACATCTGATGTTGCTCAACAATGTTGACCAACATCTGATGTTGACTTTCAAAATAAATCACCTCCAAAGTTGAACATAGTTCATAGTAATAGTCAAAAGTTGCTGACGTTGTTGCAACATGAGTTAACACAAACATGAGTGTAAATTGTCAATGATTCAATAATGAGTAATAACTTATTCAATAATAAGTCTGTAATTTGTCAATAATAGTCAATAATTCATTCAAGAATAGATTATGGGTGTTTGGTATGGCTCAGTGGCTAAAATGAGTTGGATG